CCTGGTCTGGTGTGGGTTGAGTGAGGCAATTAACCTGTATCACTTGTGTCAGATGTGGCGAGGTCTTGGCATAGTGTTAATTGTGAGATTGACATGAATTATAGATGTTGAAATGATTGTTATATTGATGTGAATGAGGAAAGGTAAAAGTGATAATGTTAAAGTCTAAGTGGATTGTGATGGATTGATAAATTATGGTACATGCTTGTAAATATTTTATTAAATAAAAGAAATATGATGAGATTTTAATATGGTGTGTTTGGATGTACTTTGCATATAGATATCTTCTTTTCTCACCGTACAAATTGTGGATATTTTAGGTGGAGAAGATCCGGCTACGAGTGACATCTAGAATGCCAACAGTTAAATTCTGGGAATGCTCTGATAGTGTGGCATCGGGGCAGAGGATTTCTAGGATAGAATATTTATATGGATTTGGTATCGTAATGAATGTAATTCTCTTTGAAAATCTGTAAACTCTTAAATTTTACCTTTCAAGTTTTATTTTTCAGTCATTGAAAAAGAACAGTTATAAAGTTTTATGTGACCCTTTTTACCAATTTGATCAAGCATAATTGGTTTTTGACAGTTTCTTCTAAATTCTCACAACCACCTCCATGAAAACAACTCTCCAAAAAAAGAGAAAAAAAAGTTATTCTTTCATAAAATCAACTCTCTAACTTTCATAACTTCTCTTTTCAAATTATTGTTTTTCTTGAATGTTAAAATTACCCTTAATGAAGTGAGAAGGGAGATAATTAATTTTAATAACTCTAAAATAATTTCCAATGACCTCAATTAAAAATTATAAAATCATGTAGAGATTGATCAGACTACAACAAGAATTAATTCTAAGAATAGAATGATTAACTGAATAAAGACTTTATTAAATGGATAATACAAAGAAAATTAAATAGTTCTAGTAGTTACCTTAATTCTCAATAGTAGAGACTTAACCATTCATGACTAAAAATTACACAATAGAAAGGGACCTTTGAACGATTCATAATTACAAAAGTAACCTTACAAGAACTTTTTCTAATCTCTATAGAATTATGCTAAAAAAGTATTGATGGATACAAAGACTTCTTAGAGACCCTACTTTTTTTTAACAATTTTTTATGGGCTTTTAAGTCAGATGTGCTCACTTAGAGCACCCATATAGCTCACTCTAAGCCTCTTGTGATAGTGTTTTGAGTGAATTTTACTCACTTAGAGCATCTAAGTAGCTCACTCTAAGTAATTAGCTGATATATTTATCTAGGTTTTCTCTCTAACTTTACTCGCTTAGAGCATTTTTGTGGTAGCTTTGAGCAAATTTCACTCACTCTGTATGAGGATCCTACTCACTTTAAGCGAACAGATCATCATCTCCAAGGTTACTTTTTTAACAACTTTTGAAGGGATTTCTCCAAGGTTACTTTTTTAACAATTTTTGAAGGGATTTAAGTTAGATGTGCTCACTATAGACACCTAATTTTGTCTGGTGGCACAAAAACAAAGAAATGGACTTCAACATGAAGAAGAAGTTTCTGAAGGCTCGAAAGCAACACTATAGTAGGCTAACATGACATCCAAAGATCCAAAACACAGAGTGCTAGAATTAGTAGCTCGGAACCGGCTGTTCTTAGCTTAGAAAGAAGCCTGTAACCTAGGTTAGAACGTCCTATTTTGACCTAGTTTATTACATGCAAAATTCAAATATGGAACGGGTCGTTCCAATTTCAAAATTTGCACATAATAGAAAAGTCCAGAATGACCTGTTCCAAATTCAAAATGGTCCGTTCTGGTGGATTTCCGTGCCTATAAATAGAAGGCTCTAAGGGCCAAAAATTTAGCCTCTGAAAGTCCCTTTAGAATCTAGACCCTTTTTTGTATTTATTGAGATTTGTGAGGTATTTTGAAGTGTAAAAGGTAGCCAAAAAGCACCTCAAATTTACTACATTGAAAATATCTATAAAAGCTCGTTTTAAGAGGTATCTTTCTTTACTATCTATTCCTTTTGTTATAAATAAAAGCAATCATGTAAACGTTTTAGGGAAAATTGTGTAAATAAGTAAATAATTATTAATAAAAAAGAAACTTAATATTTATGATGGAGCCTCAAAGTGCCACAACTCCATTGAATTCAAACTCCTCTGTGTGGACCTTGAGAAGATTCAAGGAAGATTTACGGATTGAAATGGAGGAGCAATGTTGAACTAGAATGAACTAAGGTTCTCGGATAGAAGTAAGCAAGCCTAAATCTACAAAGAGAAAGGCTCAAGACAACAAGAGAAGGATACTCTCCTAAGGTGACTTCGGTTTAGAGTAGATTTCTTAAGAAGAAGAATTACTCATTCAATATCCAAATTATTTCAATTACACGTCCAAAGTGAATATATAGGCTAAGGAAGTGTGCTAGGGAAGCTTGGCTCCTAAGGTTTAATTCAAACCATGGTATGGTTAATTAAACCTTAGGCGCCAAAATTTGAATGTTTAAATTCAAATTTTGGAGCCAAACCGGATCACCCATGTGCTACTTAATTTGAATGTAATTTGGCATTCATTTGAGTAAATTTCAGACCCATGTGCTTTACACACATGGTGTGACCGAAATGCACTCTAAATGTAATGCTAAATTACATTTAAATTGAGATGCACATAAAACTCCTTTTAGCCTAAAATTTAAATTACATTGAAATGAAATTCCTAATCTGCTTGGCCAAAATACAAGGCCCACAAATCAAAACTACAAGCCCAATGGGCTAAACCTAATTTACATGGGCTTTAATGTATAGCCCAACTAAAAAGAACTATGGGCTTGTCTTTAGAAGTGGCCCACTCTTCATGCATCCTCTTGACCATAGCCCTAGTAACTAGGCCTTTGGCCCATCGGCCTCCATCAATTTAAATTATTGTTTGCAATTACGCTATTTTCATTATAGGCTACCGATTTAGGGTGTCATAGGGTGCCTAACACCTTCCCTACAACCCCCGAACCAAATTCTGGTTTTGAAGGCCATTTTGGTATTTTAAAACTTTTTTTTGAATGGTTTGAGCAAAACATCGGTGGCAACTCCATGAACTCTTTTTAAAACCATTGATTAAGAATTAGTCTAGTGTTCGAGCATTCCCTATTTGATGAAATTTTTAAAATGGAAGTTTAAATCATTTGTGGGTAAGATCAAAATTTTTTCGGTTCCAACAGATGGCAACTACACTAGAGAAGCTTAAAGAGGGTTAGGCCCAAATAAATGATGAAACTAGCGAAATAAGAATAATAGTTCAAATGTTGGTTCCCTTTACTTTTGTTTGTTTTGCATGTATTTACTTTATTGGCTTTATATATGCATGTTTGAAATAAACAACTATACACAAACCCTTGCACACAATAGTTTTCTCTATATCCGAGGGCATGAGCGCGTGAACATAAGGAATGATTGATGTACGACCGACCCAAGTATGGTCGTAGAGCCTGCAAACCTTGTCGGAAATCAC